GGCTTTTTTCTCGGATAAAGGCAACTTAACTAATTTAACTTCAAAAGGTACTTGAGAAAGAGGAGAGCAGCTCAGAAGGACATACCATAAAATTTAAAAACTAATATAGTTTTAATAATTTATGTATTTATTAAATTTATTTTTGATTTCTTCACATTTCGTTTACGGATTAAGTATATCAAAATCATATGCATCTAAAATATGAAAAATTATTTGACCAATATTTAAGGGGATTTTTTGTGAAACCCCCCTTTTTGGGCTTTTTTCTCGGATAAAGGCAACTTAACTAATTTAACTTCAAAAGGTACTTGAGAAAGAGGAGAGCAGCTCAGAAGGACATACCATAATTTTTCCTTTTTTTATGGGCAATATTGCCCTTTCATATATATATATATATATATATATCATATATTTAAAAATCTGATCCATTTATACACGACCTCATATGTTTGAAAATCTAATCAGTGAAGATTTCGCAAAAACTTGATCTTGAAATTTGAAGATCTCGCCGCCGACAATCTCATCATTGGTCAACAATAGACGATTCGCCGCCGACAATCTCATCAAATTTGCTTCGATCATATGTTCTCCGACAATCTCAAAATTTATATCAATAAGAGCTTTATATATCAAATCTGTATCAGATTTTGAGAGTTTCATCAAGATTGAGGGTGTTGATCCAATTTTAGAGGTTTTACTTCGATCACGTGTTTGATTATTGTTCGATTTTGATCAGGTATGTTGATTTGTTAATTAGTTTTTTTTTTTTTTTTTTTTTTTGATTAGTTATTTTTGTTTGATAGAAAGAGAGCAAAATTTTATTCTGGTACTATGTGCTCTTTTTTTGTTCAAGAGTAAAATTTTACTTTGATTCTATATGCTCTATTTTTTGTTTTAGAGTAATATTTTACTCTGGTACTATGTGCTCTATTTTTATTTGATAAAATGAGAGTAAAATTTTATCCTGGTATGTGCTCTGTTTTTGTTTGATAGAATGACAGTAAAATTTTACTCTAGTATTTTGTGCTTTTGTGATTTTTTTTTGGACTCGTAGTAACAGTAAAAATTTACTTTGATTGACAATAAATTTTACTGTAAACTGATTGCAGATTTGAAAAATGGTTACAACTCTTATGTTGTTGTGCAAGTAGATCCAACATTACTGATGATGAAATGGATTTACTTCCTATGTTTTGTCGCCATGAAGAAAGGCCTTTTGTTGTCTTCTGAATGGGTGAATTGAATTACTTATGTAGGTCAAAAATTTATTGGAGGTGCAAAGGATTTTCGGACTGCATTATGTAAATTTGCCATTAAGATAGGATTTGAGTTTGTATATGTAAAGAATGACAAGTGTCAGGTCACTACTGTGTGTTCAATAAAATACGTTTTTACTATATTGTGAATGGTTGTCTATTCAAATTTATGATTTGCTTTGTGATTGAATTTGACATTTTAATATATATATATATATTTTTTTTCATGTGGTTGGATTAGTTTCATGTAAAGGAACTTATAATGGAGTTTGTTAACATGAAAATTTTGAGTAAAATTCTAGTCTTAAAAATAGTAAACATTACTTTTCTTAACATAAAAGTAAAATTTTACTCTCATTCAGAATAAAATTTTACTGTATTTCAGAGTAAAATTTACTTTAAATTGAAAGAAAAATTTTACTATGTTAGAGTTTGTTAAATAGTAATGAAATTCTAGTCTAAAAAATAGTAAAACATTAGTTTTCTTAACATGAAAGTAAAATTTTACTTTATTTCAAAGTAAAATTTTAATTTTACTGTGTTGTTGAATGTTTATCTATGCAGTTTCTGATTTGTTTTCTGAATTGAAAGTAAAATTTTACTTTATTGCAGAGTAAAATTTTACTTTAAAGTATGTGAATCCTACAAGAAAACATTTTCAACCTGCAACAAAATTTACAACAATACACAAAGTCCTTATTGCTCATAACACAATCTTTGTGCAAAACCAATATAAAACCACAACTACATATATTATCAAGAGATACAAAATATAAACTATATCATCGTATTTTATCCATAACAATGTTCTATAACAATGTTCCATCTTAATCCATAACAAGTATAACATGTATCATTGTTATTCTTTTAGCATTCTTTCACCTATAATTACTTTTCAACATTCTTTCATTTATAAAAAAAAACAAAATTACATTCATCATTCACATCAGATACAAACAAGTAGTTCTCATAATTCGTCCACATCCTCGTCCTTAAGGTCTTATTACCTGGTTATTTTTCTTTTGAGGTTGAGCTGTTCCTCACCCTATGCTTTTAAAGAATTATTCAAAAATCAATGCACTATTGATGCTTGAAAGTTGTTAATTTCATCATCTTCCGTAGACTTTGCAATAGGCTCATCTCTCATGATTTGACAAATGATATAACATACAATAATTCCACAACCAACACTGTTAATAGAAATTAAAATCTAGTTAGATTTACTCAAATTTGAAAATCAACAAAATCATAAAACTTACCATTTCTAACATATAAACAAAGAATATTCATAAGGCCAAAGAAAAAAAAAAGTATGGCAAAATGCACAAATATTATAATGAAACAGTAAATTTTACTGTGAAGGCAAAATTTTACTCTATTTAGAAATAAAATATTACTCATTGAAAGTAAAACTTTACCCTGATTGATTAGCAGTTTTGTTCATAACATAAGTCAATAAAGAAGCAAACAACAAGGCAAGCATCTACACTACCACTTACTTTCGAAATTAATGCAATTAAATCACATAAAAGCAACAAGAAAAAGCAAAATCGAAATCAACCGAACACACCAAACTGCATCAAAATCGACCGTTTCTAGGGCTTTAATTCAGGTCAAAAGCAACAGGAAAGGAAATGAATATCGAACAAACTTGCATTATAATCTATACATTGTAATAAATAAATAAATAAATAAATTATCCATTATTACCAACACAAAACGAAGATAAAATCCATTCATCTAACATTTAAGCAAATTAAAACATCACAATGCCAAAAAAATCGCATACAAAGAGCATAAGAGAACAAACTTTATTTTTCATTAACCAGAGTAAAATTACTGTTACGAAAATAGAGTACACACTAGATAAAGAAATTATAGTTGAATTTTACTTTAGATTTATGAACAAACAAACAAAAAAAACTCTTGAATTTTCATTGTAATATATCAATTTATCATTTTTTTGACATATATGAGGTCATTTTATCTCAGATATAAAGTTATTGATCTCAAACATGAGTTCATAAGCATCAAAATCTGAGACGGTGATGATTGACAGTAAAAATGGTGGTTGCCAACCGACAATGAGCGATGTCGACCGAGAAAGAAAGGTGTAAAAGAAAGAGCTTCTCTGACTTGTGATAGTTGATTCGAAAGTAACGATTGGTAAAAGATGTTAAAATCGTTCAATAACTTCGAAACATTCGACAGTGGCACTTGAAAATCTTTCATTATGCTTCAATTTTTGTTTCAATTGACAGTTTTTGAATTAGGGTTTTTAAATCAAGGGTTTTTGAACTTTGACAGTTTTCAAACGCAGAAAAAGAACAAGAGAGACAAACAGCTCAACTGCTTACTATTACTTATATATATGCAAGGGTATTCCTGTCTTTTGAACTTATTTTTTAATTCTGAGGGATTTTGACAGCATTAATTTATTCCATGTCATTTACACAAAAAAGGCCCAATAGGAGAGGGTTCTCACCAAAAAAACCCATATTTAAAAACCAAACAAAATTAATTTTAATTACTTGAAAACCAAACAAAGCTTTAAAAATTATTTAAAAAGAAGACACCGGTCAATTGGGTTTTGAAAACTTGTCTGTGAAAACCTCAACTAAACAAGTTTTAGGTTTCAAAACTTGAGTTTAAAAATAATTTTGAAATATATATTGTGAAAATCCAAACGTAAACAGGGTTTGGGTTTTGGGGTTAAAGAAAGTGAATAAAAAACTAAACCAAGTGGGTATGTGTTTATTTTTCAGTGACAAGGGCTCATGTGCACAAGGACGAAAGGTTAGTTTGGGAATCAAATTTTTTTATTTTATTTTTATAAAAAACGTACATAAAAAACTAAAAAAACAAATAAATAAATAAACTTTTTATATCAATTTTTTAATTTTTTAACTATTTTAACAAACTATCAAACATCCCCAAATCATAAGAAAGTAAACTGAAATATACCAAAACCTCTCTTTAAATTTTTGAAATTGCACTTATTTCCTTCAAGGGCCTTCCATTACGATATCATTAACATTTGAGATTGCTTTTACCATTTTGTCCCTAAGTTGTTCATAGAAAAACATTTGACAGCATTGTGAAATTACAAAAATGCCCTTGCATATAACATAACAACAAATTAATTTACACACAAGAATTACTAAACAAAATTGAGAATTTATTTGTGAAATGTTCCTTTGGGTCAATAAATGACTCAAGCAAATTCAACCAACAAAATTTGTTCTCTTATAAAATATTTATTTTCAATAATTAGCTAGACAATTTAAATTTAAATTTCTTAAAATCACAAGTTAAAGCAAAAGAATTAGTACATTCATACTAATATTTATTTTTTACAAAAACATATAAACTTCCACAGCTCATTTCATAATATTTGTGAAGTGTCTCAACATACCAATCGACCAAAAAAATTAAAAAAGGAGGCAAATTATACTAACCTCTCTTAAAAAAAATTTAAAAATAATACAACAAATCCTACAAGCTTGACATAATTACACTGAGCTTTTCTGAGATTTAAATTTTCAATCAATTGGTTAGTATTATAAATGAAAAATGATACTTCAATCCTACTTTTGATTATGCATGTTGTATGTTTACAGTAGTCACATCTGTTTTACGCTTACTAGAAAAGAGATATCATTAAAATTATGTCAAACTTGTGTGACTTATATATTTTTTTTCAAGCTTAAAAGAAGGTTAGTGTAATTCATCTATAAATATAAATAAATAAAACATCCGAAAGGCCCCAACAGGAGACATTTTATAACAAGTAAAGATACTTATAATTACATCAATAAAACAAAAAAGGTTAAAAAGAAAAAGAATAAAAAAAAAAAAAAAAGAATGAATGAATACAAATCATCGATCGCCTTCTAGCCCTAAAGGAAGATCAGATGTGAGGCCAAGTTGCTTCCTTGTCTTCCCCACAAACAAGTCCCTGGATTTGATCATACCAGGAATGTATCCAATCATTGTTATAAAGAGGATTTGTGCCACTGCATCATTTCTACCAAGTGAAACAAATGCTAATGGCCAGGCAGCCCTGTAAGTAGCCATTCCACTCTCTTCTCCTCCTGTCATCAACAACTTCAAGTTCTTGGCAGCCACCATTGCATGCCTTTGTGCCAAATACCCTTGCTTGATTTCCTGAATAATACATAACAATATTCATTGCTTGTGGTGTGACTACAAAATGTCCTCCATAACAAATAATAAAAATTACAAACACGAACTTAATTACACATAATAAAATTGTGTGTTACTTTTACCCCAACAATGTATATCGAGCTCTCCAATACCCTCTCTCATGTGGGATCCCGTATTCCATGTGAAGATACAAATGCAAACAGAGACTTGAACCCAATAGCTTAAGTTGTTAAATAGCCCCAATAATGCATATTAAGCTCTCCAACATCATACACATGCAAAATCCCCCAAATTGAAACTTATTTACACGGTTACACCCCACCCTCCAAAATTACGAAAGTAGGAAAGTGTTGGTGTTGACACATCCGAACAAAATGGCATGCTTAGTGCTTCTGAATTCTAATAGAAAACACTACAAATTCAATTTCTAGCCGAAACATATATTTTGCTAAACACAAGTATGGCTAAATGCAACAGAAAATAGTTGGACCTTTAACATAACAGATGAGTTCTTATGAGTTGGTATCATAAATGAAGATGCTAACACAATCACAAGTTCAGCATTTTTCTTTTTGGAAATTAGGGTTTTACAGGTGGCACTTCAACCATAATCTCATGCTTGGTGTCTCTCCTGGAAAATATTACCAAACCGTTAAAATACCCCATAGCTCCTTGTACAGATAAAAATGCTAACAATTTAAGTTCTTAAATGCCATCTTCCAAAGACACAATTTCTAAAGACGAGTGATTCGACAAAATGGACAAAAGCTAGAAATCCAGTATAATGGATTCTTTCTTAAGTAGCACAAACACGGACACATGATACAACAAGGGCACGGCACGCCAATTTTCAAAAAATATAGGATACGATACACCTGGGACACACCAAATTTTTATAAATTTATTGTATGTCAAACTAGAGTTTTTTCTAAAGTAATGAAGAAAAAAAAAAAGCAACATAACACTAATTATACTTAAAAGCTATATATTCCATAATTTAAGCAGAAAAATATTATTCACGTAACAATTACATTCTAAAGAATGCAAAATAATTGTAGAACATTAAAATACACGTGATGTATTCATCTACAAAGCTTCAAAACATATTTAAAGTGCACAAATTGAATTTTGAATAATGCAAAACATAGTTGCTATGAAGAATTCTTCACAAATGTTGCGTTCAAAGAGTTCGAGATGTGTCCAAAATGTCTGAGGTTATTTAAAATTTTAATTAAAACACGTTGAAAAAATATTGGACATACTTTTACGAGTGTCTACATAGTGTCGATGTATGTGTCCCCCTCAACATGCCTCCCCCATAGAAGTGTTTGTGCTTCTTAAATGCTTTCTTGTGGGCTGGTACGCATAACTAAAGATGCTAGACAGTCATAAAGTGAGCTTTTTTCTTTTTCTTTGAGGGTTCTTGTAGAAGTAAATATTCCACCTCAGAAATGGTGATTGAGCTATAGACTAACAATTGACCAATATCTACAGGATCTATGTAACTCAACAATTAATCCAATAAAAACAACGTTTCATACATATCTAAAATATTATAAAAATATAACAAAAAATAGTAATATTTTACAACAATTCTCTATCAACCTAGGAACCACATCATATCTTGGAGAAAGATTTAAATATATATATATATTTTTTTGGAAAAAAATACAGAATACATAGTACATAATTAATCTATGAAATCATGGAGGCTAAAATGTGAGCCCTTTTATTATTGGCACTGGACTGGTTGGATCAACAAATTAATGTTGAAGTTTAACCCAATTTTGCATCCTGACCAAATCTGTTCAGTCTATGTGAGAGGGTGACCATAGTCCAGATTTATGACTCTAGAAAATAATAAAGAACCTCCACTCTCAAACATTTGGAAAAGATGATAAATGGAGCTAAAAGAAGAATGGATAAACTTACAGGAATATCGGTAATATCTCCAATACCAAAGATATTCTTGTGACCCTTCACCCTCAAGTTTGCATCAACCATTAACCTGCCATGAATATCCAAGCTATTTTTCAAAACAGTCTGCTTAAGCCACGATGAGCCCATTGGCTTACCCGTGCAATCATAATAGCAATCAGTTTTGATAGTTTCTCCACTAGATGTTTCATAAACACCATCTAATTCATTATTAATAAATTGCCCCAAGATGACTTCAACTTTCTTTGATATCAACCAGTCCATTGCTTTTTTGCCAGCCTTAGGTCCAATGAACTCCAACAACCTTGATCCCCGATGCACTAGTGTCACCTTCTTGTCAGGAAAATCAACAGCAATTTCACCAGCAAGCTCTACACCAGTGGGTCCCCCTCCAACTATTAATATTGAATTAGAAGACTTAATCCTTTCATTCTCTGCAGCACGAAAAATAAGATTGAACTTGAGGCACGATAGGACAACACAGCAGCAAGTTTATTCAGAAGAGGCTAATATGTTACAGTAAGTAATACAGAAAAATGGAGACTTTTGATAGTTTTTGTGGAGACAAGATGAAATGAAGAAAGACTTTCTGAAAAGGTGTGGCTTAGTTGATTGAGATCAAACACTCAGCATATAACAACAGATCACCCTTTTCAATAGTTAATTGGTCCAAAAGTGCTAGCAGAATTAGTTGTTTATTCTTTGACTCCTCAATTCAAATTACATGAATTGGATTTGTAAGATTTTTATCTTTTTTTTCTTGTTTATATGATCAAACCTTAAAATGTTACCAGATAAGTAATGGATTGAAAAGAACACCAGTTGACAGCCCAAGTAAAATATTATTATCCACACGAGATTCAAAATTCTTATTAAAATGCATGGGCCAGATGTAAGGCCAGAAATTAGCCAAACCATGCATTTACGAAACAACTATACTTGCTATTTGATTTTCTAAGTTCCATCTCTATGTATAGTTGACACTTCATTAATTTATTTATAACTCGATAGTTTATAGTAATTAACTATTTTTTTGGGGGGAAACAATGTCCTGTAATGAATAATACATGTCTATTACATATTATATATCCATTTTTCGAATTAAAAACAAGTCACATATACCCGCACACATACCACATAGGAATTACAATTAACATCAATCTATTATAAATAGAAAATGAGATTAGGAGTTTCTTATAACTTGAGTTAGATTGTGTTAATTTCATTAACCTCCAGAGGTTCGCCAAGAAGTCGTATAACCAGCCCTTCTTTCACAGATGACCACTAACCTCCCTTGCCGTTAGTCCTCTCAAACAGAATACATGTTCTGTCAAGAGTTGACTCAGCTGACTAAATAAAATGTTGATACAAACTTCTTACCATAAAAATAATATTTACATTTAAAAAGGTAAAGATACATTTGGCATCAACATAAGAAATGATAAACCCATATAATGTAACCCTCTTCTCTTTCTCTTCTCTAAACCGTACCCACCTATGATGCACGTACAGGACACGGACACGGACACGGGACACAACACAGACAAGCGGACACACAAATTTTCAAAAAATAGGGGACACGTTTAATATATATAATTTTATTTATTTATTATATGTCCAAAATTTAAAAAAAAAATAAAAAAATTCATTAGTTACTATACAATTACAATAATAATAAAATTAATAAACACATTTCTTACATTTTTTTAATGAAAATTGATTTTTTTTTAAATAAAAATAATTTATTTTATGAATTTTAGGTTTAACAAAAATAAGGATAAAAAAAATGGGAGGAGAGGGAGAGAGAGAGGGAGAGAGAGGAAATTAGGAAATAAAAGAAGAGAGAGAAATGGGGGGAAAAAAGAGAGAAGTAAAAGGGGGGTGAAGTCAGAAAGAGGAAGAATAGAAAAGGGAGGGGAGAGAGACGAAATAGAAAAGGGAGGAGGAGAAAAAGAAAACGAAGAGGAGAAGAGAAGAACTAGAGAAGATAAACAGAAGAAGAAGAATAGAGAAGACGAGGACAGAGAAAACGAAGAGAAGGAAGCAGAACAGAGAAGACGAAGAAGAATACCTCAGGTTAGGGCTTCTTCGATTGATCTCTTTTGAACAGGTTAGGGCTTCTTCCTTCAATCGATCTCTGCCTCGATCTCTTTCTCTCTTTCTCCAACAGGTTAGGGTTCTTCGATCCACCTCGAGTGTGTTCGGAAAGTGTCCGACTAGAAAAATTCAAAAAAAAAAGAGGACACGTTAGAGAGTGTCAAACACGTGTCCACAGCGTGTCTGACGCGTGTCCGTATCCGACACCCATACGCAAGCCCTAGGGACGTGTCGGTGCTTCGTAGGTACCCACATCCACTTCCTCTGCCACAACCATTACCACAACCATCTCTATCTCTCTCCTTGCGCTCTGTCTACTTTATTTCTCTAACCCATAACTCTTTCCTCATCCACAAACCACCAACTCAAACTCCATTTTGCAACACTTTCCACAATCACACCACCACCTCACTTGGCCCTCTGTCTCTCTCCAGACACCACTTTTCTATGTTTTCTCTCTAACAAATCACCTTCCCCACAAATACAAGATCTCCATCGCTGCCACCACTACCTCTCTCTCTCTCTCTTTGTTGTGTATTTTTTGTATTTAACTCTTCATCCATTACTAGGATCACCAACAGTCACATAGTTACCGCCACTGCCCCCACTACCTTGTCCTATTCACCCTATTGAAACGCTCTTATCTAACATGCCACCACCATCACCTCACCATTGCTGCAAAAACTCATTAACTCTAAAATGTTTTATTTTTCTGTGATTTTTTTACAAGCAAAATTTTATTACCAAAAACACCTTAAAATGGTGAACCTAGATCAAAAAAATCCAAAACCAATATGTTATACATCCCCTAGCATATACTTATCACCTATAAACTGCACAAACAAAACTAAGGAAAGACAGGTTCTCTCTTTTCTTTTCTTTTTTAATTTAAAAAAATAATTCTTAATGAGAAGCCCCATCTATTAGACTTATACAACATTATGTATTTATATTATATTGACCAATGAGGTTCCAATCCTAAACAAATGACCAAAACATCCCAAACTAAAAATGCACATGTGGAAAAACAATCTGTGGTTAACATAGCTTAGTCAAATCCATTGCTTCGCAGTACAACTCCTTCAACTATCTTTGACCCAATCTCATCAATCTCACCCGTCATCATCTACTGAATTTAAACCAAACCAATCGTTGCTCAAACGCCTCATTGGCGGCTCCACCAATCTCTGGAAACTGTGAAAAACTCATCGCAGCAGTAGCAAAGACCAAACCGTTGGACATAGTTCAAGTGAAGGCAAAGAACAAACAAAAATTGAGTGCAATGGTGAAGTGGTAGATGGAAAAGAGGGAGGCAAAACTGAAAAATTCATCAAATTTGGCCATATGTGAAGATTTTATTGCAAAGGTTAAGATGATGACACAAGGGTTGCATCAGAAGTGTTTACTAAAGGATCAAAATTGGAGGAGATGGAGGTGAGTGAGATGAAGGATTGACCAAGATTTTACTTTTTATTGACTAGTAGAATTTCATTAGATTAACACCATTTGTCTTTGTTTGAAGGATATGTATATATTTGGATACAAGTGTTTGCCATAGGTTCACACCTTTTCTGTTCCTATTGGTCATCCACAAACACTGCCACCATTGCCTTGGCAAAGTTCATTGGCAGCTTGAGCTTAAGGAGGGTGAGTAGTGAAAACCAAATAGTTCAGGTGAAGGAAGGCGAAGGCGAAGGTGAAGAATGAACAGAAATTTCATTACAATAACATCATCTACATTTGTTTGAAGGATATGTATATATATGGATACATGTTTTTGATATAGGTTCACAGTTTTTCTGTTCTTATTGGTTATTCACAAACACTGCCAACATTGCCTTGGCAAAGTTTATTGGCAATAGGTTAACAAAACTTGAAGCCTTTAACATCCAACTGTTGATTGATCTTCGTCAATGAAACAAATTCACATTTTGAAATTAGGAAATTTCATAGTTTCAAAAAAAACTGAGAAATTTCTCACCTTTGAAAATAGAGATTTCACAGTTTCAAACTGAAAACTGTGAAATTTTATGATTTTGGAACTGTGAAGCAAGTAAAGGGAACGAGACTGGAAAGACCAAATAGAGCCCAACAACGGAATGCTTACCAATACCAAAGGTCAGGGTAAGTTTATCGGCAATAAAGGACCATTTCTCACCCAAACCTACCTACCATCAAAAAGAATTTCACACCCGTTTCAACCGTAAAATTTCACAATTTCTTTTTTTTTTTTTTGGGCGCATAATCTCATATTCAATATAGATATTGTTTGATTGATCTCGATGAATATGTTCCAAAAATTCACTTTGCTTGGTTCCATTTTTCCAAAAACACTTTTCAGAAAATTCTACTTTCTTGTTTTCCGTATTTTTTTGTTTTTACTAGATTTTTTTAATATTTAAGCAATTTTTTTGTTTTACTTTTTAGACATACCTAACATAAATATACCTAAAAAGTAAAAAATTTGTGAAAAAAACCTTTTAAAAATTCACTAAATACCAAAAATACAAAAAAAAAACGAGAATTTAGTACATTTTTTATATTTTTATGTATTTATTAATTTTTTAAAATATTTTTTCACAAATTTTTTACTTTTTAAATACATCTAAGTAAGGTACATCTAAAAAAGTAAAAAAAAATGTTTAAAATTTTAAAAATATTCACTAAAAACAAAAAAATACGAAAACCAAAAAACTCAGTTTTCAAAAAACTTAATAAAAAAAACTCAAACCAAACACACTGTAGTTTCATTAAAATGGAATGTTTATAATGAAAATTATGACATTTTAAGGTTTTAAAAAAATTAACCACTGGAAAGGAAACAACATATGGATGGAGTTTTGAGTGCCATAAGCTTACTTCTTACAACAAGGGTAAAAATGAAATAAAAATAAATAAATTTAATAACAATACTTCAACTCACAGACATCTTAAAAGCTAGGATTATATAACTTAAAACAATTTCACCTATGAAACACGGACACCTCTCCGAAGGTCCCGTACAGGTGTTCGACACATGTCGGACACGGACATGCTCCAGACATGTGCCGGACATGCTGGGACACCATGGACACGCTACGGACACATTGAGACAAACTGAGGACACACGAGTGACACATTGAGGACACGCTAGGAACACGTTGGGGACACCCTGAGTACTATTTTTTTCAAAACAAATTAAAATTTTTAATTCTTTTGCTAAAATAGCATATCTAAGGTTGATAAATTTGATAAAATTAAATATTTGACATAAAATACATATTAAATATTTAAAAATATACATATAATAAAAATATAAAAAATATATATGTTTTGAACGTGTCCCCAACGTGTCATGTCCTGTATTTTTTGAGAATTTACGTGTCCGCGTGATCGTGTCGTGTCCATATCCGTGCTTCTTAGAATTTCATGGCACTTATTGTCTATGAAATCATTTAATAGGACTTAACACCAATTATCCCAACAAAAAAGTAAAGATTTTTTCAAAGCAACAATAGAAAACGCAATACCATTAAGTGATCTCCAATTATATTCCCTTCATACCATCCATAAGACATGCAAGGATGCAGTCGACCATGCCTTCTTTGCCAGCTTCTTAGAACAACAGGAACTCTAGCATTTCAACAACACTCCCAATTGAATACAGCGTAACCTAAGTAACCACAAAAAATTTCGATTAGGGTAGGCTGATCCATTTCTAGCATAAACAACCCGCACCATGACTTGCAGATTTGGAAACCCAGGACTTTGAAAAATAGGGCGAATAAGCAAGCGGCCTAACTTATTGAGTTGGAAGGTATGCAAGGGGCTAGGCTTTTTAGAGAACAAATCAAGCTCCAAAGTTCACTAGCCACTAGAAAGTGAAAAAGTATGTTGTTAACTCTTCCAACATGCTTATACATACAACACTAATCAATAATTACCTGAAGTCTCTTAAGGTCGTCGATAATCAAAATGACCTTATGAAGAATTCTCCAAGCAAAGAAGACAATCTTAAGTAGAGCCTTGTTTTCACACATACCCCACCAAGCACCAAAACAATCACCTCCATCACACAAGTCTTTGGTAAATGAGCAAATTGAAAACACCGCTCTTAGATACCTTCTATCCTTTAACATCATAATCTCTCCCACGAATCACCACCAAATCATAAATAAGCCAACAAAAGTCTCCATAGATTAAAGTTCTCATTCCTCCAATGCCCTCTACAGGTGAGCACACCAAACCACTATCAATTAGCTACAAATAATCCATCACGAACACATTAGTGTCAATAGCCAAGTGAACAAGATATCGAAAACCTCTCTCAAAGATCTATGGACATATCGTGGATCAAACCAAAACCTCTTCTTCCCCCATTTCCTAACTTTTTTTTTTTTTTTTTTTTTGAACTACCCATTTCCTGCCTTGAAAAGATTCTTTTAACAAATTCATCTCGCATCATCATGACCCCTTCCCACGAAACCCATAGTGGACTAGTTACCCCAACCTCTCCCACACTTCTCTTCCATTACCTTACTCTACAACCTTTCGTGCTCCAAAGTAAACCTCCAAAGCCACTTGATAGGGCTTTTTTGAACACCTCCATCGTACGAACCCTTAAGCCTCCCTTCTAAATGGGCGAGCACACTATCCTTAATAGTCACCAAATGGTACTTAAACTCATCCCCTAATAAAGTCCCTTATCAACCTCTCCAACCTCCACTCATCCCCTAATAAAGTCCCTTATCAACCTCTCCAACCTCCACTACTAAACAAGGAATAGTGAAATGGACGTAGGGTAAGTGGGTAAGTTCAAGAGTACTCTTGATCAAGTCAATCTAACCCCTTTAGATAAATACATCCTCTTCTAGGTTAGCAAGCTTCCTCTCAAATCTCTTCACCATGCCATTCTGTATAGTTTTGGCTCTAAACAATAACCCTTGGACATTCCTAGATATGAAGTGGGCAAGGCATCAACACAATGTCCAAATTATCCAACTTTCTCATTTTAATGAGAGCACTTAGCCAAATTGACATGCAAACCCCCGAGAATATTTCTTGGTATTATATGAGAGAATACTTTGTTTCATGTTATAATTGCACAAAATAGTTATTGGTATTTATATATGCATATACAATTACGTTTATATACATATATATGTATATTAGTGTATCTGACTTACATTGAGCGAGGGAATAGGATGCAAATAGTTGTTGAGAGAGATTGACGGTCATAGATCGCTATTGGTCCGGCGATAGTGACTATGGTGAAGTTAGCTACCAGTGGCAACAACAATAGTTCAGTGACACTATGAGGTGGCAATAGTAGTGGCATTAGTTGGATTGGATAGACAAAGAAAGGGGTTGAGAATGGGGGTTGTAGCAATCAAGAAGGTGGTGGGGTGGTTGTGATTTCTTATACAACTTTTACTTGTTCACTTTTGATAACCCAAAGGTTGTACCCTGTTTAGGTGTTATTATCTCTATTTTTTCACAAATTATTTTAAATAACCACATTACTCCTCTCTCCTTGATGTCAACCAAAGGTCAGGGCAAGACAGATTAGTGATCAATTAAGAAACATGGGGTGGTTATGTGACTTTTTGGCAAATCTTAGGGAAGATTTGTGATATTTACCCAATTAGATAAAATACATTTTTTTTATTAAAAAAACAAAAAATTGATTTCAGAAATATGCTTGCCTCACCTATTTATATTCTAGGTAAATTATATTAACCTCCCCTAAGGTTTGGAGAAAATACAACAAGTCCCACAGTCATGGCTGTTAAAATCGCGATCCGGATCGTATACGATCCTACTTTGCCAAAACAATCCAGATCGTTGTAGGATCGATGTTATAACAAGATCGTGTAGGATCGCATGGGATCATGTAGGATCGTATGGGATTGTATAGGATCGTAGATAGGATCGCAGATAGGATCGCAAGTAGGATCGTAGATTTTATAATTTTTCACCTTATTTTTAATATGTATCATTTTTATTTTTATTTTTATCTTTTTTTTTAATAGAAAGTAGGATCTTACGATCCTCGATCTGATCCTACGATCCGATCCACCAAACCCACTCACCGATCCTACTTAGGATCCCGATTTTAACAACTTTGCCCACAGTTTTGACATAATTACGCCAACATCCCTTTTAATAAGGTTAAAGGGACCATAAATAATGCAAATATTGACATAAAGATAAACAAAACAAAATATACATTTCAATGTAAAAGAGATGACATCATTTTTTTATTCATATAACTAACGAATTACTAGTGAAAGGGGCTAAGTATTATGTGAATTAAAACTTTAATGGAGCCCAATAAAATAATGCCAAACTTGTGGGGTTTATTGTATTTTAAGCAAGTCTTCTCTTTAGTCATAATCATAGAACCATAATATTCAATAACTCTATTATAAATAACTTTTAGTCTCCAATGATTATAAGTTAATAAAGAGTTGATTGCATATACCTGTTTCATACTGACTGAGCTTCTTAGTTCTAGTTTGGGGACCTGTATCATTACGACATGTGACTACAAAATTCAGATTATTATCATTCAAAGAAAACTTATGCTTCAATCAATTGGTATCCCAAGAATAAAATTATTTTCCAGTAGACAATTAGAAATTTGGGTAAATTACACTAACCGCACATGAGGTTTAGAAAAAATACAATAAACTCCACATGTTTGGCATAATCACACGAACCTCCCTTTTAGCAAGGTTTTAAAACAATCGGAAATAACGCAGATAGTTTGTAGACACGTGGATAAACAAAGGGAAACTACACATTTCAGTATAAAAGAAATGACAATATCAATTTTCCATCCATACAACTAACGAATTCCTGATGAAAAGGAAAGCTACATGTAGTGTGAATTAAAACTTCAAGAGAATCCAATGTGATTATATCAAATTTGCGGAGCTCAATGTATTTTCTCCAAACTTCAAGATAGGTTAGTGTAATTTACCCGAGAAATTTTAATTTGGTGTATCGAATGGATATCAAGCTAATATTTACCTGCTTGGTAGAAACAAAGTTTATCATTTCTAGCAAGGGCCCCAATATCAACATGACCCGTGGCAATTACAAGATAATCATATGTAATCAAATCGCCTTTTTCTGTCAATACTTCACTTTCAGTGATATCAATCGCAGTAGACACAACAACACGTGCATTTGGAAGGTATTCAGAGTGATTAATAAGTGATCTTTCTGCAAACAACGGTTCAACCATTGATCTCAAGCTCGCCCAAGGGAGCTCAAAATACTCCTTCCTGTTGTCATCATTTTTGAAGAATCAAAATAAAGAAAACATGACAAATAATATCTGAAGTGAAAATAAAAAGTGAATTTTATAAAATCATATAATGTCAACTTTTTCAAAGGCAAAATCTTGTTAAGATCAACCACAGTTGCATGCCTCTACATGTATACCGAGTAACATATAAAGAAACCAAAAAGTTGCACTTTTGGACCAAAAAGTAAATATATAAAACAAGCAACAACTGACTATACAAGAATTTTTCGTAACAAATGACAACGAAAACACATTTTTTGTATTTTTTTTATGTTCTGCAAGTTTTGGGATTAGTTTATTATACAGTGTTGTAAACCTCCATTAGAGACGATTGAGTTCAATAATATTTAGTTTTATCTTTCTTGTGTATTTGATGTTCTTTTGTTTGCTAGAATGATATCTAGTCAACATGTGACTGTCCATATTCCCATCAATTCTGTTTAAACACTTCGCTTACCCATCCAATTTCTCTATCAAAATATATATCTCAACATCTGCATACTCATTCTTCAAAAGTTTTAAATCTACCCAATCAAAAGGCCAGTATTTGCTCACCATGCTTTATTTCCATATTCATTATTGCTGCAAAACCTATGACTTCATGACACACTCATGAATCAACAAGCTCTTGTACAGTGATTTTGCTATCTTTGATCTTAAAATCAGAGGCACCATGCGGTCTAAATCCTCTCATTATTATTTTACTTTATGGAGCACTATTTGGGGCATGTATAATCAAATTAAATTTTTTCCCAAAACCTCCTTGTACAGCTCCAAATTGCCACCACCAACCACCATTTTCATCATTGAAAAAAAACATGATAACTCCGATTTTTTGAGAAAAACAAAAAACGAGACATAAACATGAGGTCACAACTCAAATGACAGTGTAATCCAATCACATTCCTTGATAATTCAACTAACAAACCATTTTATAGATTTCCAAATACAAAATTGCCAAGGAAAACCAACAATTGGTGCAGATTCATCTCAATTCCTTTTTGGGTTTTGTTTTTTCCATAAAAAACGGCTCTAATCAAAACAGAGAAGAGAGAGAGAGATAAATAAAAAATAAAAGCAAGCTTACGAATCCATAAGGACGACATTGGCATGGTCTTGAAGGTGTCTAGCCAAAAGGGATCCTGCAACACCCCCTCCAACCACCACCACCAAACAAAACAAAACAAATCAATTTTCTTGAACCACCACCGCCCATCGCTGCCATTGAAATCAATCCAACCCAAAATTGGAATAGCAACAACAACAACAACAACGCATATCCTTCAATTCCCTCTCGTTATTGAAATTAAACAAACGTATGTATAGAGAACGAAGAATTGAGAGAGAAATCCAGCAATGAGAGAGAGAGAGAGGGGGTTAGGGTTCGTTCTATAGAGAGAAAAGAGGCGCCTTCCTGGAGTTCCTATGCGTACAGGGAAAACCAGGAGGGGCGAATACATCGAAGTGGTCATGCATTTTTATTGTCCGGTATATTTTGAGTAAATTACATTGATTACCCTGAAAGTTTAATAAAATTACAAAAAATTCTTCTATGATTTTAAAATAACACTAACCTCGGTCAGGATGAGTCATTTTCCGATCCAGTCAAAGATAAGTCATTCATACCAAAACTAAAAAAATTATAAGAACAATTCCGTTAGGTAGCTCGAATTTTTCATAATTCGAGTGGTTTGAAATCCCAAAACGACATTGTTTTGGGTTTTTTTTTTTTCCCCCATTTTTTCTTCATCATTTCCAACTCAACACATCATTATCACAGAAGAGAATAAAGAAGAAAAAAGAAAAAAGAAGAAGGAAAAAAAAAAAAAGACAACGGGGGTGTTTGGTGGGGTTTTTTTGAGTAACTTATGGCTTTTGGTTTTTAAAAAGTTATTTTGGACGATTTGATTAAACTTATTTCAAATAGTTTCTGATTCTAACAACTTATTTTAAGTCAAAAATGCTGATTCTGAGAAGCTGCTCACCCCTTGCTTCTGATTATCAGTTTCTACTGTGGACATATTAATTCACGGTTATACTCTTAGATTTTTTTTTATTTTTTATTTTTTTAAAAATAGAAAAAAAAACTCAACTGGACTATAAAATATTATTATTATTTTTTATGAAAAATGTAGACAAGTAGTAAATAATAAAAAATAAAAGTTAATTGAAAAAGTTATTCACAGCTTATTTAACAAACACTATTCAGCAACTTAAATCTGTAATCCAACAGCTATACCAAATAGATTAACAGCTTCTGATTAAAGTCATAATCTATAATCTGTTAAGTTATAATCTATAATCTGTTTTAACAATTACACCAAGCAGGACCAACATCATCATCGACACAGAATTATCGTCATCAATAACCAACAAATCATCATTAACACAGCACCATCATCATCAACACATCATCATCAACAAATCAAACCCCCCTACACACATACAGATCTGGAAGCCAAATCGATAAAACACACACACACACATGGTGGCGACAGAGTAGAAGAGAAATAAGCGATGGAAGCGACGGAGTAGAAAAGGAAGTTCTGTTTCATTTCTCTCTTTCGTTTGTTCATTTCTCTCTTTCTCTCTCTTTCTTCTCTTTTCTCTTTCTTTCTCTCTTCCTCACTCTGTTTCGTTTCACAGATTAAAGAGGAGGGAAAAAAAAAATCAAAACGACGTCGTTTTGAATTCGAGGCATTCGAGCCTAAGGAGTTTCGAGCTCTCAAGTATTTATGTTATAAGAAATAGGTTTCTTTTGTCCAAGGATCAAGCACGAAATTATTGGGAAATTTTATTTCCACAGACCTACTTACCTCTATGCACACATTTAATGATTTATTTTTTTATTATAGTTTTGTCCTAAAATAAAATTATCAAAGTATGCTTATCTTCTCCACCAAAATCCTAATTTCTTAATCCTAACCTTTGCCACCGCCCATCGCTATTGTTGCCGCTATTACAGTTTTGAAAATCTGAGTTCATTACAATCTCTTGATCTCAATACTAACCAATTGAGTGGGAATTTTCCTATGATTAAGTGGTGTATTTGTTTTGTTTTCTAAAAAGCATTATTTCATCGTAACTACTTTGTTTATGGCGATTGTGTTTGTTTTGTTAGTAGACTCATTTTCTTGCTTATATGCTATTGAAGTGCCTAATGAGGCATCACCCCATGACACATGCTTATTATGGTCAATACTGCAGTTTATGGATGTAGAGGCTTTAAGTTGTATTTTCCTACTTTCTGTATTACATATAATGGAACTTGATCTAGAGAATGAATATTGGTTTATGGTTTCAATGTTAAAGAAAATGATATTTTTGACAAAAAAGATTGTGCATGGAGTAAAATTACAACATTTAAATTTAATTGGTGTGTGTATTGAATGTAGAGTGAGATATTTAGTTGTGTGAAAATAAAATTACCCCAAATTATTATATCATAAAGACATACTTCTCCACATTAGCTAAATTACCCTCGTATATTTAAAAACACCTCATTCCATTCAACTTTCAAAACCAGTTTCACTCACTCTCTCTTTACATCTCTCTCTAGTCACCTTCGTGCACCAGTGGTTCACGCTCCACTCTAATGGTTCGCCTCATCTTCTATTTTTCTCCGGGGACCAATGTCGTAGATGACATCGTCGGCTCCACTCCGCTCATCGTTGATCTTAGATCTGTGAAGCCCACGATCTCAGGTCCTCGCCATCGTCGAAGTCTTCATCGCCTCCTAGAAAACGGATCAACAACCAACACACCTCTCTACTCCTCCACCATCGCCTGACGCCGTCTTCCGCTTCGTCGCCGTCACTTAGGTCGTCTTCTCAAATTCTGCCAGGAAATCATCACTGATCTCGGATCATTGTCGTTTCTTCATCGACGTCACTATCATCCTTCAATCGCCGTGACTACAGCCGTAGGAAACAGAGATCAAATCGACGGTGAGCTTCGCCTTCTTCAGCAACAACAACGGCGTCATAGAGCTCCAGAACACTGTTAATGACGTCCTTCAATTTACACATACATATAGATTTTCTATTCTCTCTCTTGAGTGTTTGGGCGATTCTTCGTCAGTCATGGAGCTCCATAACACTGCCAAAGAAGCCTCCGACCAACAACAACAACAGCGTCGATGTGATGTCGTTTCTTGTGAACCAGGTCTTATAGACCAGATCTTCCATGATTGGGGCATATTTGCGACCGCTCGTGATTATCGATCTCATACCGAACCTAGTTAGCGGTGCCTAAATGTAGACATTTAGGTGCGTTTAATTTGCGTTTGTAGTGTAATTTTTGAGATAAAAAAAATATAAAAGTTTATTTAGTTTGTTTTTTTTTAAATATTCTTTTAAAAATAATTTTGATTTTTTTTGTAGAGTAAGTTTTGAGATAAAAAAGTACAAAAATTTGTTTAATTTGTCTTTTTTCAAATATTCTCTCTAAAATAATTTTGATTTTTTTTTTAGAGTAATTTTTGAAATAAAAAGTACAAAAATTTATTTAGTTTGCCTTGTTGTAGTGTAATTTTTTAAATAAAATTATAAAAACTTGTTTGTTTTGTTTTTTTTGCAAACATGTTTCAAAAGTAATCCTAAAAATTGAATAACCAAATATATTTCTGAGATTTTTTTGAAAAAATTTGTTTAGTTTGATTATTCTTTAAAAAATGCCTGTAGAGTATATTTTCAAAAAATTTCTCTCAAAATCAAACCAAATAAGGCCTTAATCTCAAATTCAAAAAATATTTTTTTGTTGAATATATAATAATTAATGTGTCAATTGCATAAATAAATAAATCTATATAATAAGGAAGCTCAGATTTTTGAATCTGGATGGGACTTTTGTCCCTTTGTCCAAATTTTGGCCATTAGATTGATTTGATCTAAGGGCTAAAAACATCTCACTCTCATCTCTTTCAACACACACTCACTCAACACACACCCTCTCTCTCTCTCTCACATACTTCTCTCCTCTGTTTTGTTTTCAAATTTTGAACACTCTCTCTCTCTCTCTCTCCCTCCATTGGAGCCCATTCCCGTGCTTCCCTATCTTCATCTTCTCTCTTCCTCCCTCCCTCTCTGCCGTCAACAAGGTAGTCGTCACTACCGAAACCGGACCGAAGTCTGTCCTCGGCCAAGCCAATATGTATGTATTTGTGTGTATATTTTGGATGTATATATATGTATATGTGTATATAGAAATCAAATCCAAAATGTTTGATGTATATGTGTATATGTGTATATAGAAATCAAATACAAAATCAAACCCATTTCAAACCCATCTGTATGTATATATATGTATATGTGTAATGGGTTTGAAATGTTTGATATGGTTAATTTGAAATGTTTGATGTTGAACATAGTTTTGATTTATGAAATGGGTTTGATTATTTTATGGGTTTGATTTATGAAATGTGTTTGATGATTTTGTATTTGATTTATGTTTGAAATGGGTTTGATTTTGTAGGAATGAGACACGTACTGAACATGGGTTTGAAATGGGTTTGATTTTGTATTTGAAAAATGTGATGCACGTACTGAACAGATGGGTTTGAAATGGGTTTGATTTTGTATTTGATTTTGTAGAAATGGGTTTGAAAAACATGATGCAGATTTTGAAAAACATGGGTTTGAAAAGGATTAGATTTTGTTTGTTTACTGCTCTGCAGATTTTGGCAGAAACCCTGTAATTGAGGGATGGGTTTTAGGGTAGGAATGAGACACTGTTTAGCTCACTGATTGAGCGTTTTATTTATTTTGTAATAGTGATTTTGTTTTTTATTGTTTACGGTTATGCAGATTATGTTTTTTATTTGTGATAGTATGTTAATAGTGATTTTGTTTTTTATTTTGTAATAGCCATTATATTTGTTTTTTATTATGTATTCAACTCTCTTCAGGGAAGTTGAATTAAGGAAATAACACATGGTACTTTGCAAAGGGCGAGGAGTCTGACTCCCATAAATACTAATATAATAACTAACAACTAACTTTTGTCGATAAAAAAAATAATTTAATTATTGGATATAATTTAATTATTGAGAAGCCATGCTTAAGAAAGCCAAATCTTACAAAACCTATGCCAATTAATTAACAAACTGAAGTGGGTTTCTACTTTCTAGGCAACCAAACAAAGGGCTTTTTTTTTTTAATAAAAAAAATGGAAAA